GTGGGTGCGTGGGTGCGTGGGTGTGTGGGTGTGTGGGTGTGTGTGTGTGTGTGCGTGCGTGTGTATGTGTGTGTGTGTGCGCATGTGTGCGCGTGCGTGCGCGTGCGTGCGCGTGCGTGCTTGCGTGCGTGCTTGCGTGCGTGCTTGCGTGCGTGCTTGCGTGCGCGCGCGTGGGGGTGTGTGTGTGTGTGTGTGTGTGTGCATGTGTGAGTGTGTTAAATACAGCAACATGATGTGGGTATGGTTCTGGTTGCAAATCCTTTACGGTTATACTGGGTCTTGTGTTACATGGGGCCTTCTGTTAGACATTCTCTTTCTGCCAGGCCGGGTTGTAAACAAACAAACGAACAAAGCAACAATGAATCAACAAAAACAATGTGCATATTGAACTATGGTCGTATACTTCTGGGATTGCATGGCCGCTAGGCTCTATGTCCTTCTTCTCAACATCATCATAGCATCTATAGTTTCGCCCCCAGTACTTGGTGCAGGAGCTCTTGCGACAGCTAACATGTCATGCTCTGTTGTGGAGATGGAGAGGGCTCTAAAGAGAGTGACAACAGATAGCATGGCCTTGAGACAAGAGCCAACGTGCTGAGCTGCGCCGCTCTTTGAAGCGCAAGGAAGGACAGGACTTTGGCAACAGCCCTCCATCCCCTTCTTTGACCCCTGACAAATTTCTTCAAGATATGTGGGCTCTTGCACAAACCGGGCGCGGAGTACTCAAGATATGTGAGCTTTAACGGAAACCAGGTCGGGAATACTCAAAATATGTGGCCGTTTACACAAACGGAGTGGGAATACTCAAGAAACTGGACGTGGTGTTTGACACAACCCGGGGTGCGAGTATTGAAGATGCGTGGTATTCTGCGGAGTCCGGGTTTAGAATACTAAAGATACGAATCCCGGTTGGGAGTACTCACTATATGTGGTCGTCTACATAAACCATTTTGGGAATACTTAAGATGGCGGCCTTCGCATCCCTCCCACCACCTCCCTCTCTCCCTCTATCCGCAACGCACTTCTCGCATGAAATGCAGGGCCTCAACTTCACAGGTTGCAACTAGTCACCAGTTGAGACAAAAGGCGGGTTGTCCACCAGCAGCGGGGCACTCTTGCTTCCGGATCTTGCACCCTCCTGGCCACATGGAAAGTGGCAACAATTCCAGAAGGCGTGCTTGAGACACGTGCAGACTTTCAGTACACAACCATCGGGCCGGTTCATGCCCACGTATTCGGATGGATTTTTGACCTCGATGAAGCACTTCAACCCCCCTTCGTTGCCTCGGCCTTGTCTTGGTTGGCGTCCGCTATCTCCTGGCACATCTCGCCCATCAGGGAGTAGAGCCCCACCTTGCAAATCATGGTGCATGAGAAGGTGCCGTGCTCTGCAATGCACTGAAAATCCAAAATGCCCATGATGTGTGTGCGGGGTTGCCGCACGCAGGGCTCTTCTGGGCCCCATAGGCCCCCTTGAGCTTGAGACCGAGCACCCTCACCACAACTACGCTTCGATCCTGTGCGCGCCTTCCGTCATACATAATTGCACAATACTACAGCATGCTGAGGCAGGTGCAGCCTTGCCTGTCTCCTGGCCCAGCGAGGGAGGGCAGGGGTGAAGCACTGCAAGGTCACCGGCCCTACCACCACTTGAACTGCAAGTAGCATCATGACCACCTTCACGAAAAGAATCAGTGCCGAGAATGCTGACGATGAAAAGGTTGATCGTAGCAACGGGCATAGGAAATGTAAGCATGTCTGGCGAGAGATGTGTTTATCATCAGCTCCTCCCCACCCTAGCACCTCATCGCCTGAGCATCTGCAGAGAACACTAATTTTCAGTCTCCTTCTCAACCATTTCTTGACCGGCAACTTAGCAAAGCCGTACACCGAAGTCCAAGTCCCCTAGGCCCTACGACAACCATCGACAACTATAGACGTGCCCTCCTTCAGTCAGCTTTCGCCGTATATGAATGTGTCTCATAAGCCTTGCAGGTTCACAGGGGCAACGACCCTACCGCAGCCTCTGCTCATTGTCAATGCAGAGATGGGTCAACGGTGATCTGAATCGGGCTATGTTGAGGGGTCTACAGTATAATGCATTAGGGTCCCCTGTATTCCGAACACTGCACAGGTGGTGCCTGAAGCGCCGCTTCCAGGGATTGGTCCTTCAGGAAGGCCCCGCGCGAATCGGAGAGTACCTCAATGGGGAAGTGGACAGGCCAACCAAAGCCATCGCAACATGTCGGCTCATGCACTCTACTCTCTGTCTTAGTCTTCCCCTGGCGTTTTGCGATATGCTGTGTGCAGGGTGCATTCCTGTCCATTGCCACCTTCAGATTCCTGTCTTTACTCGCCTGTCGCTGAGGCCGCGGCCTTCTCGGTGATGTCCATTCCGATGTGGTCCTGGCTAGGTGAGGTCGGTGAACTTTCGGAAGGTGTCTGAAGCGTCCCGCTCGTGCAGACGGTCCTCTCCATTTGGGACTGGTGCCTCGTTGGGGACCACATCAGGGCCAATCTTCTTCACCTGGAGAGACCCCCCGGAATTCTGTTTGCGAAAGGGGTATCTGTGCCTAGCTGACTCAAGACTTCCTTGCTCCGTTCTCCCCGTTCCTGTGATTGAAACGCTCATGCGCCGACCATGTATTTTCTAGTCGTTGCCGCAGGGACACGGCGTTGAAATGAATCTCGCCAGCTCATTGTCTGGCACTGCAGTAGTGTGTGCTCCTTCGCACTTTGAATGCTCTGTGGCTAAATTGCCAGCGGCTGTTTCCTGATTCGCCGGAATTTAAGTTGTATATTCTGCTGACGAAGTGCCGTGTATGTATAATACTGTATATACGTATATAGTGTTCTGCATCTATATATAGCAATGCATTATATGCTCACGGTCCTGCTACTTGGCTGAGGCAGGCATGGGCTCCATCCGTGGCAGGAGTTGCCAGCTCATTGGCAACGGCTGCCTCTGAGGGACTCTGAGGACCTCGTTGCTGCAAAAGCAATCAACACATCAACACTTAATAATTCATAACGACATTTCATATCCTATAGCGATGGCCAGGGAGATGATATTCAATTTACCCGTTCTTGCTACAGAAAAACCAAGCGCTGACGGAATTCCTGGCAAGTTGCGACGCAGGGTGGAGTGCGTTTGACACCTCGGATTTGAATTTCGTAGGCCATTGGTAGGTCTGTTCTAAGGAGCGGCTCATCTTCGTCGGACTCTGAAAATCCCGTCTCCTCGTCAGTGTCAAAGTGCTCCATACCCTTTTTCTGGGCGTCGATGGCTGCTTGTATCTGGCCACCAATGTCCCCGAAGAGCTTGTAGAGGCCTACACCAGCCGCACAATTGAAGCATCATGCGACAGGGTACTCTTATATGCTACAGTGCGGACACAGCTCCCACTTTCTCTCCTGTACACCCACACAAACGATGGAAGTTGAGAGCCGCCTAGTGCCATATCCTGCATGATGCCCTCGGCGAAGGAGACGCGCGAAAGGAAAGCAGCCCGCGGGTCCGACAGAACCATGGCGCTGATATCTATGGCCGTGTCATCCGGCGAGTCTGTGGCCGGCATCTGATTCGGGGACACCCCCAGGTGCTCCACATCAGACTCGTAATCTTCCATGGATAGCAGGACCCTGGGCTCATTCATGTCCATCTTGTAGGAACCAGAAGGGATGAAAAGCGTGTCAGCAGACGGGAGGACTGCCAGCATACGTGACAGGTCCATATGCCAGAAGAAAACGTCCTCAACAGACTTTGGTTTCTATGTACACCCGGAGCCAACTGATGTACACACAAACGTGAACCCATGTTCTTTAGTCTAGTCCTCGTCAGACAGCTCATGGAAGTCCATGGCCCGAAAATTTTCGTAGTTGTCCGGCTTCAACAGCAGGAGCTTCCTGCACATCATGGTTCGAGGGGGCCACTGCCAACAGAAAGCATCTCCGACAAACGAATCATGTGGCAGGCTCAACCAGGGCACAGGGGTGGGTATTTGCATCCGGTCGCCACCAGACTAGCCGGCAGGTAGGTTGCCGCTTGCACAATCACTTCGGTGTAGTCGGGCACACCAGCCTGTAGACAGCCGTGTTCGAAGCTTTCTCTTCAGGCCCAGGACCCCCTACATCCACGAGATGTCACAAGCGTGGGAGCATGCGTGCGCCTGCACCGCGTGCGTGAAGTTGAGCTCGCTGCCGGTGGCTTCACGCAAGCCTTGCATCACAGGGCCCTGTGCGGCCACTCGCTTCTTGATCTCAGACTTCCAGTCTATAGAATCCCAGCGAGACCTCGGCTCTCTTTGCGGGGACACGGGTGAACTACTAGGTACGAGTACAGGAGTCCTTCACAGCTGATCTCTGCTAACTCCCCACTATCAAGGAAAGTGCAATTGAGCAGAGTATCATCAGGACCAAGGTCCACACTGCATGCGCGAAGAAGATGCGGAATGCTTCTAAGGCGAACAGGGCAAGGAAGGCAATGTCCACCCAGCTGTAAGGCCCAACACCGGGTTGTAACCACACGCTAAGGGCATTGAAGTACATCTGCGTGGCCCCGAACTCGCCGACTGCGAACTCTGCGCGCCACTTCAGCGCAGACAGTGTATTCCGATTTCGGGTTTTGCTCTTGCCCAAGAAAGGTGCTGCGATGACCAAGAGAACTGCGCACAGGGCTCGCATCGCCGCAAGCACGAGGCGCGAGTTTTGAAGACAAGCATCAGCATCCCAGGACTGCTGAATGCCATCGCTTTCGACCATCTCCATGACAGCAATGGGCAGCTCGATCACCACTGCTGGACCCAAGAAGCTGAAGAAGCCAAGCATGTGAAGAGTTACCCAGTTCATCTGGTAAAGCAGTTCAATGCTTGAGACTGCTTTCCCTTCGCGGATGGCAACATTGCCTCCGGATGCCCCACTGACAACAGGGGTTTGCAGCACCATGAGCAAGCCAAAGGGCGTCAAAAGGCCACGGGCTGCGTGCCAAATGTAGCCCCACATGTCTGTGCCTCCGCATCGCATCATAATCCCACCGACGGCCATGATAACTGTGCTAGGCAATACTAAAGCTTTCACCATCTGACCCTCGGACGTGGACTCATCCCCGAAGGTCTCGGAAATTGTCTCCGGATGGGTCTTCATGAGCATGGAGTAGTCCGCCTTGCCCGTTCTCCGATACTTCTCCCGAAAGGCCTTGTAGTACTTGAAGCGGTTCGTGGGGGAAGAGAACCAAACATCGATGGAAGTCACAAACGCTGCATGGCACATCCGTGCCGCAAAGAACACGACAACGGCGCCGACGCACTGGACCATGAGCTGTGGCTCCACCATGTCGCAGCGATTAGAGGCTGAAGCCGCTCGACTCTCGTGGCTTGATCAAACGGCTTCGTACCGTGTGTGACTGCATGATCACTTGTGTCACAATGCAGAACTGCGATCTGCGTGAAGCCGCACATCGTGAGCTGCTCAGACTCGGCACCGAGCATCACCCTGGTACTTGGATAGGGACAACAATGCCTCGGAAGCACAAATAAAGCTGCGGCTAGCACGGGGATAGCTCAAAGCTGCCCGAGCCGGGCGATGAAGGGAGGTCTGACAGCTGAGCTCTTCACCTTCGGGTGCATCATGTCCTGAGGCAGAAAGCGCATTCGGTGTAAAACTGGCGAACCTGCAATTCGAAGCCAGGGACGCGGCCATCTTATAGAGTCCGTAGGGGAAAAAGACGGTATCGGCAGACTCAAAGGCCGAACTCACGCGGGACCTTCGTGGGACAAAGTCTCTGGCCGGGGGGCTCCTTGTTTCTTGGGGCTCCGGCAGGTCCTTATTCCAGTTGTCCAAGTCGTCCGAACTCAGCTCGTGGAACTCCATGGCCTCGGGAGGGCCATCATTCACTGATGTCTGGCCTAGCCCTTGGCAAAACCGCGCATCTGTGCAGTGTCTGTGCACGTGGTCAAGTGTTTGGCGCTTGCAGCTGGAAGGCAGCTTCGTGCGGCCCAGTGGCTCTGAAGTTCTCGTAGTTGTCAGGTTTCACCACTAGGAGCCTCAAGAACCGGCCAAGCAGCAATTGCGACGTCGAAAGCCGGGCTGCAGGCATCAAAGTGTCCCTCCCCAACCGACCGCCCTCACTTATGCGCAAACTCACGCACACCTACACGTTCTGCTTATACACTTCGGCTCGACGTGGTCTTGCAGGGCCTGAACTTGTCGTACTTGCAGCCGGTCGCAACGAGACTGGCCGGTAGGTACTTCGACGCCTGTGCACTGAAGTGTAGGCGACAAGCTAAAGTAGAGTGTAGTCAGTCTCGTTTGCCAGTCCGCTTGGCTTCGCAGACACTCTGGGACGGGCAGTCGGGTAAGCGGCTGTCTAAGACACGATGCCGTGTGCTCAACATCAACGCAAGCAGCAAAGCCTTGACGATCCATTCAGAGAAGTCTGGCACACCGGCCTGTCGGGCAGGAAAGGCCTACCAGCTTATAAGGGGCATTGCACAAGAAATCTATCTAGCACGGTCTCCATGTCAATGCTGAAATTCATGTCTACTTGCGTGTGCAGCCCTAATATGGCGGCCCGTGGACTCACCTGCACAGCGTGCATGTGCGTCAGCTCATCTCCTGTGAGAGTCCGCAGGCCCTGCATGACGGGACCTCATCTCAGAGGCCGGAGGCTACAAGCAAAGACTGCATGGCTACATAGACAGCTCACGTGCAAATGCCGGGTAGCAAGCCCTGCGCCGGCACCCTCCTCTTCCTTAGCTCGAGAGGCTTCTGCTTGAGGTTCGAGTTTCCCAGTGCTAGTTCGTCCCTGTGTGCCTTCACAGCCCATGCAAAGTGCAGCTATGTGGAGATTCTGCAGTCTGAGCAGCTCTTCTGCCTCACCCTCCCAAACAGTCCCAAACAGCTGAGATCGCTGACATTTCTCCTGCCCAGTCGATGCTGTCCCACCGATTCATGACGACCTGGATGCCCGGAGATCTTGTATCGTCGCAATCACCGACACATCAAAAACATCGGCGCATTTACAACAGTGGCGGAGATTGTGGCAACAGCTCTGGGACCGCATGGAATGGGGGCTTCAGGTGTCAAGTGCCGCAGGATCTGAGGGCGCAGCCAACCAAAACACGCCGTGCCTCGGATGACTGTGTAAAGCATGCAACGCAGAGTACCCCTGATATCTGCCAGCTGGACCTAGAACCCTAGCCTCAACCTCAAACCGTAAAGCCCAGAGTGACGAAGGAAGTCGGGTTGCACACAGAAGATCCGGAAGGCTTCCAGGCTCAGAAGGCCAAGCAGGCCGAGATCCAACCAGCTGTAAGGGCCAACTCCTGAAACGAGGCTACAGGAGCCAAGGGGTTACTGAATACGGAAGACTGTGTGACTCTACCCTGTTATGTTACTATAGTAATTCAGACCCTCGGGCTTAGGGCAATGTAGGGGAATTAGCGATTAGGCTAGAGTGCTAACAAATGCACGAATAAGCAAGTAAATACATATAATGTGTGTGCATATATATATATATCTATGTATATATATATATATACACATACAGTAAGGAACCCTACCTTCCGACTTTAATTTTGTTCTTATGCATTCTTGGGTCGAAACGGTTTGAGGCTAGTGCTGGGGAGCTGTGTGTTGCGGAGATTTGATGGCAGGTGGGGCGAACATGCATGGAGACTGATCCAGTTGCAGTTGCCTGGTTGGAAGAAGACGCTCAACGCATTGAAGTACCTGCCACAGCTTCCGATTTTGCAAATGATTGGGCAATGCATGTGGCCTTGAAGAGCCAACAAAAAAAATTTCGCCGAGGCACATTTGTGTGGCTCCGAACTCACCAACCGTGAACCTTGGATGCGATAGACGACGGACCATGCCATGACGGACCCTCTATCTGTCGCTCCAAGCCTATGCACAACAAGGCGTTCGACGCTACCCAGCTCAGATACAGACTCTGCTCGCCACTTCAAGGCGGCCAAGGTGTTCGGATTCCTGGAGGGGAAACACAGACTCCAGGGTGCCACGCTTGTTGCCAGTGGGTACTGCACAGAAACCTAACAGAAACCCAGCCTGGTCTTGGTGGTCGCTAGGAAGGGCGCCGCAAACAGGAGCAGAATGGCACACAACACTCGCATGACCGCGAGAACCAGGCGATAGTGCTGACAGGGCGGACCGTCAGAAGCAGGGCTGCTGGGATTGGTGCCTTCTGTTCCGGCCCTCAATACCAAGAACTTTTAATGCAAGGTAGCTTCTCGGCTTGCTGCAGGGCATCAGCAAACGTGCCCGGCCTTGATGAATGGGCCTTCATCCAAAGAACTTAAGCCGCCTTGACAGTGTGATTGCTGCATGTTTTCACGGCTGAAGACGTGTAAAACGAGTCTCACCCAAGGAGTTTTAAGTCTTCATGAGCACTTAAGCAGAAGTAGAATTGGTTGGCAGTGTGGCAGTCTCAGCGGCGGGATGCAGGTGATGCCTGCTCCTGTAATGATCTCATAGAGAGCCACAGGGAGCTCGATGATGACCTGGTTAGTCTGTGAGGGCGTGCACCGCGGAACTCTTGGCAAATACATGTCTACTGGAGGCATCTGCCACTTCCACATCGCTCGGGGCGTCAAGTTCCGAGACCCTAAGCTGCGCACGGCCGGGCCGAGAAAGGCGAAGAAGCCGATCATGTGCAACATTACCCAGTTCATCCTTGCGCATTCAACACTTCCAGAGATCTAGAAGTCAGTGGCCAGGCGTGCGATTGGCAATGCGCAGGTTCACACAGGATTTGATATAGCCAGGTCAATCTTCGCGACAGCGGCACACGTTCTAGAATTGAAGAATCCTTTCAGTCTCGCAAGGTATCAGCGCATATATCTGGAACGACGCCTTCCACAACAGATTTGCGTTGAGTGGCTGTGATCGTGCACTGCCGTGGCTTGTGTACCCGACTTCGGCAACATCAGCACTCATGCTCTCACTAAGTCGCACAGGTAATGAAGTGACCATCCGGGACCCAAGCTGGTAGAGCAACTCAATGGAAGAAACCTTCTTGCCGGCCCGAATGTCCTGCACGACAGTTTCAGCAACGTACACGACGGATTGACAGGCGAAGGATTGCAACATTGAGTTGATGCCCGCATCTGCTGACACGAGGCGGAACAAGTTGGCCTACACTACCTCCCCTGTTTCCACAGCCACGCAATTCCAAGTCTTTTCTTGGTTCGCATCGCGAAGACGCACTTCCGGGTCTCAGCATGCAGTGACGAACGAAGCATTACAACTCAGTGTGCCCACAACAGCTGTACGACAGGCACAACAGAGCCTTCACATTCGTGGCTTGCGGTGCTGTCCAATACATTGCCTCAGATTATCATTTGGGAGGACTCGCACTCTGTAGCCTTGATGCTAAGGATTTCAAGATGCACCGTTCCGGCGACACCCTCGGCCCAAACTCCCATGGTTCGCATGTCTTTGAGAGTCTTGGCGTCTGGACAGTAGATCTTGTCGTCTTGGCACGTCTTGATGGCCGCGCCAGTCGCATAGTAGTCAGTGAAGCCCGTCAAGGGAAGGGTGACTGTGTTTACTTGACCAGCTGGCCCTGCGTTGAAGTCGGACTTGTATCCATA